CATGCCAGGCTCTGCTGTTTGGGGGGCACACCAAGAACAGTCCCTCCTCCGGGCCTTTGCACTGGCTGTTCCCTCTCCTCTCCTGCAACTTCCTTCCCCCACATATCTACATGGCTTGCCTCTTCACCTCCTTCAAGACTGCTCGCCTTCCCAGACCACCTTTTCTTAAAAAGCATCCCAGCCCACCCCACACTCCCTACTGCTCTTTTCCGACCTTTTCTACCATTGGACTTTATCGCCATCTGACATACTATGTATATTTGCTTCTTCTTTCCACAGTAGGGTCTGAGCCATATGTGAGATGGGAAGAGGACTGTTTTGTTAGTGGCATGGAAGTGAGAGGGGTCAACCCTCCAGACTACCAGTCCCTCCACTACAGATCCCACCAGCCTCAGCATTCAGCCCCGTCACCCAACCTGCCAGCCCCAAAGCCAACCTCCTCAGCATCTCCTGAGCACCTATTTGCCCCAGTGCCAAGCCAAGGACAGACTTGGTCTCCGGCCCTCCAGGATCCTGCCTTCACTGGGAAGGCTGGATAGTGGGGAGCCGGGAGTCCTCAGTAGGTGGGGCTCAGAATTCTTCTTGCAACCCCAAAGGAGGGCCAAGACTCTTTCTGGGAAACTCGAAATCCAGCCACATGGGGCCAAGCTACCAGGTTGCTTTCTTCTACTGTGACTTCCTGATTCACCTGCCAGAACCTGGACCTTGTCCCAGGGCCAAAGCTTTCTCCAGCTCCTCCCTCCACCGCTCCCCAGGGGGCCTTACTCTGGGCCAGGAAGGGTGCTCCAGACAGAAGCCACCATCCTTTCACCTGCTCCTGAGCATGGCCTGAGAGGCCCTGGGGCCGTGTGACACCTCTATGGACATACTGGCAAAGCCACCTGTCCCCCCACCCCTCCCCAGGAGGCTGGGGCTACAGCAGCTGGGGCTTCAGCTCTCTGGCTTTCTGGTTCCCCTTCCACCTGTCTTCCTGGTAGGACCCAGTGTGCTCTGGGACAGAGTTCACCTGACATGGGACAGCAGGAGGCTGTTTCTGCCAAAACTGAGTGAAAGCGGTGTCCTCGGTATGGCTTCCACAGCCGGAGGGGCTATGGTGGTCTCTGTCCTTGGTGGAGTCTCCAGAGTTTGAAAGAGATGGAAGTTTGGGGGCAAGGATGGAACCCAAGGAGAGGCAGGCAAACTACTCAGAAAAGGCAAAGTTTATTCCAGTGTTGACAGAGAGAGGGTGAGCCTTGCACAGCAATTCTAAAAACACATCAATCTCCTTCACCTAAGAGGTATGAACCGGCTGCAAGTCATGGGGTTACTAAACCAGCCACAGTTATACAGTAAGCAGGAGACGTCACGGCTCAGGCCTTCTCAGACTTTCCCTGGGACACACGGCTCTCTGGGGGGGCCCGGCGAAACCACTCGGACCAGGAGCCATCGTACACGGCCACATCAGGCTTGCCGCAGAGGTAGGCAGCCAGAGCCACATGGCAGGCAGTGACTCCCTTGCGGCACGTGGCAATGAGAGGCTGCGAGAGATCCACCTTCTTGGTCTGGAACAGAGCACGGAGCTCTTCTGCGCTCTTCTCGAAGCCATCCTCAGTCAGGAAGTCCATGAAAGGCATGTTGACAGAGCCACGGATATGGCCCGAGTCCAGTCCTGGGCAGGGCAGAGGACACAGGTTAGGGGATGTATGAGGGGTGGGGACTAATGGAGCCTGGAGGATTCAATCAGCTGTAGCTGGAAGGATAGATAGCTTTGCAAATAAAAATCACATCTTTGCTCTGCTTGGAGCTCAATTTATTCCCAGCCCCACCTACTATCATTTCTCATGACTTAAGATGCCTGCACCTCCTCCCCTAACACCTGTATTAAAGTCGAGATGCCCAAAAGCACACCTGCTTGAGAGGACAGCGGCATGAGTCTCAGCTCCACTAACCTTTACCTTGGGCAAATCATTTCACTTCTCTGAACCTCAGTTTTCTCATCTGTAAAATGGGCTCAGTGGTACATACCTATCTCACAGCGATGTTGAGAAGAGCAAATGGGACAACTTATCGCAAATGCTATGTGCTGAGAACACAGCGGTGAAAGGGGGAGACACAGCCAGGCCCTCTGGGAGATTCCGGTCTAACCAGAAAGATGCTAAATAGATAACCACATAACCAATCAGATATGTCCCCTCATTTTACAGATGAATCCCCTGAGGCTTTGCAAAACAACACGGCTCACCTAAGGCCACACAGAAAGATGAAGGCAGACCCAGGATCACATCGGGGCCTCTGGTTTTCTGTGAAGCACACAGTTGCAGAAAGAGCAAGTGACCTGGTGTCAGACGTAAGGTCAAATCCCACCTTGAGCAAGTTATGTCAGCTCTCTGAGCCTCAGTTTCTCCATAGGAAAAATGGAAATGAGAGTACCCACTGGGTACAGGCTGCTGTATGGAGCGGATGGCACAGGGAAAGTGCTGGTTTTGGAGGTTGGCCCACCCACGCTGCCATGCTGCACCCCCGGCCACTTCACCACCTACGGAGGGTGTAGGGGGAGAACAGGGACAGTGTGGGCCTTTTTGGTCCCCTCCAAGAACTTGGATGGAAGCAGAGTGGAGGGACTAGGCTGGCTCTAGGGTCCTTTCTGGAACTGTCTCAGTACCCAGTGAGGGCCCTCAGCCAAATCTGGCTTCAAAAGAGTCAGGAATTGGGACAAAGGGGAACAGGCCACGGCCAGAGCTGGTGCCACCAACAAGGTGAGGCCACAGGCCAATCCCACACATGCCCCAGGCCACTCCTCTCTTCCTCAAGCAGCCCACACCCTGGCGGGGGTGGGGGCTCCGTGGTTGGCCCCACTCCCAGTGCCCAATCTGCACTTTGGCCTGACATAGGCCTATCTCCAGCCCTCTGAGCCCTCCTTGCTCCCCAGATCCCCACCCCATTCAACCTGGATTATGGGACAGGGCAGGAAAAGGGTGGCAGGAGTGGGAGGGGAAGGATCTGACTAATGTGGCCAAGGCACATACTGGGGCTGTGTACAGCCAAGCAGGCCCTGAACCTCCAAGCCTCAGTCTCCCTCCTGCAGAACGGGGAGAAAACCCCACCTAGGCAGGGTGCGGTGGCTCACGCCTGTAGTCCCAGCACTTTGGGAGGCCCACGTCAGTTCAAGACCAGCCTGGTCAACATGGTGAAACCCCATCTCTACTAAAGATATAAAAAAAATAGCCGGGGATGGTGGCAGACACCCGTAATCCCAGCTACTTGGGAGGCTGAGGGAAGAGAAACGCTTGAATCTGGGAGGTGGAGGTTGCAGTGAGCCAAGATCGCCCCATTTCACTCCAGCCTAGACAGCAAGAGTGAGACTCCGTCTCAAAAAAAAAAGAAAAAAAAAGTAAACCCCACCTACCTCAAAGGTGTGTGGGGAAGTGTAACTACTGCAGCTAAAAGAACCCAGTGACCCTGGCAGGCACATGATTCGGTATGTCATCATTCCAGTTACGTCCTGCTCCTTTCATCCTGGGGCCAAAGCGGATTCCAAAATCTATTAGTACAAGTCGAGTTTGATTGGCAGTGGTGTTTACAATCAACTGATCACCAGTTACAGATTTCTTTCTTCCTTCTCCACTCCCACTGTTTCATTTGAATAGCCTGAAAATAAATAAGAAAGGCCAGGCATGGTGGCTCACATCTGTAATCCCAGCACTTTGGGAGGCCCAGATGGAAGGATTCCTTGAGCCCAGGAGTTGGGTAACATAGCAAGACCGTATCTCTATAGAAAAAAAATAAAAAATAAAAATGAGCCAGGCGTGGTGGCATGCACCTGTAGTCCCAGCTACTTGAGAGGCTGAGGTAGGAGGATCACTTGAGCCTAGGAGGCTGCAGTGAGCTGTGATCATGCCACTCCAGCCTGGGTGATAGAGCAAGACTCTGTCTCAAAAATAAAATAATAATGAATTAAAAAAGAAAGTTTGATTGAATGTAATGTATAAAATTAGAACATTTCTTCCTGTTGTATTTCGTCTGTTTTGCCTGGAAACTTGAATCTAAGATGTGCACCCACCCTTCCAATGAGGAACAACGGATCCGCTGGCATCGAGGGTATTCTTTCCCAAGAAACCCAGCTTTAAAATGTTTCCACATCCAGGCAGTGGGCTGCATTGAAGTGCATTTGAAAGCACAAAGGGTTGAATCCTGTTTTGTTTTGTTGCCCCCAAACCTGATGACACAGCCCCACTGTGTTCCTCTGATTACATAAAGGGCACCTCTTCTGAGTAAAGATGAAGTCAGGGAGTTTCTGTAGAGCGGGCCTCCCACACTGGGCCAGCTGGACGGGGTGAAGTGAGGGGAGCTCAGGGCCTGTCTGGGGCATTTAAATGAACTGTGGGAAGGGCTGAGATGAACCTGGGCCAGAGAACTTTCAAGAACAGCCAGTTGGTGGAAAGGCAGGTTGGGCTGGAAAGCAGAGGCTCCCAGGCTTCTCTTCCCAAGTCTAGCTGAAGGCTTCTGGCTCTCCCTGCCCCCAGCAGGCATCCCCCCATTCCCATAATCTGTGGCACCAGGCACTTGACGGCAGGTGCTCTCAAGAACATTATCCTCCTCAATCCTCACAAAGCAGGGGAGATTATTCTCTCAGCAATGCTGGGGAGCCCAGGCTCAGAGAGGTAAGGTCACTTGCCCCAGGACACACAGCAAAGGTAAGTGAAGTCTGATTGGTCAGTCCCCAACGCCTGTGTTCTTTGACCACCCTGAGCCTCCCTGGAAAAGGAGACTGAGGCGGGGAACGGATGAGATGACCTCTTATGCTCAACTACTGGAGTTGACATCCCTCAGGCCGCTGGTAGGTGTGGATTTTTAAGGCCAAGGAAAGGTGTCTGGCCCTTTCTGCTTTCACTAAGGAATCCAGAGCAGGCAGCCCCAGAAGGCAACCCCTTAACTCTGGCCAGGAGGAGGCAGCCCCGCACCCTCCCCGCTCCCTCAGCCCAGCTCCCAGCCCTGGGAGGGAGACACACGCAGAGTGGATTTTCAGTCCCATACAGCAGCCTGGAAGCCACACCGTGGAGCTGTGACCTTTCCCTCAGCCCCTGGGTTTGCTTACAGCTCACCCCACCCACAGCAGTAGCCTTGGGAAACAGCCCCACCTTGAAGCCTGGCAACTTGGGGTCAAGTCTCAGCCACTTTGCCTTAACAGAGAAGCCCTTTCCCTGTCCCCACCCACAAAGTGAGACCAAGCCTACCCTACCCCTGCCTGCCTCCCCTTGCAGGGCTGCTGCAGGTGTCCAGAAGAGACTATGTAAAAAGGGTTCTGTAAATGAAAGTGCTCATTAGGGGGTCGATACCCTTCTCCCTTCTTCACCCTCACTCCCTCCAAGGGAGGCAAAGAAAATTAACTTGATAAAGAAACTGGGCTGGATAAACTCCTACTCTGCCTCTCTCGCTTCCTCCAGCCCTCCTCTCAGGTGAGCAGTGCTCCCTTCATGAAGAACAGTCAGGGAAGGCACTAGCCTGAGGCTACGCATCGGTATCACACCTGGATGGAACCTCACATCTGGCTGACTCCAGGACTAAGGGCTTGTGGAAGGACAAAACTACAGTCAAAGAGGAAGGTGCTTGCCTAAGGTGGGCAGGAAGTGGCTGCCAGGTGTCTAGGCTCTGCTTCCCGCTCCATTTGGGGCCATTTCTTCCAGAGATGATCAGGCCCAAGGCCTGATCCCACAGGCCTGCCACCCCCATGCCCCTGTGTGTTACACCTGGACAGCTGAAGCTATAGGGTACCTCCTTGATCCCACATCAAGCTGGGAACCATAAACTTGGCAGAACCTCACGTGCCTTTGTGTCCCCAAAATATCCTGTATGGCAGGTCAGCAAAGCCTCTTGGAGGAGGGGGTTGGGGGGGAAATGCCACACCTGCCAGGTTTTGTATTGTTCCTTACCCTTCTCGAAATCCCTTTCCAGCCACTGTTACATTTTTTTTTCTTTTTGTTTTGAGATGGAGTCTTGCTCTGTTGCCCAGGCTGGAGTGCAGGGCGCGATCTCGGCTCACTGCAACCTCCACCTCCCGGGTTCAAGCATTCTCCTGCCTCAGCCTCCCAAGTAGCTGAGATTACAGGTGCGCACCACCACGCCTGGCTAATTTTTTTATTTTTAGTAAAGATGGGGTTTCACCATGGTCAGGCTGGTCTCGAACTCCTGACCTCGTGATCCGCCCATCTCGGTCCCCCAAAATGCTGGGATTACAGGGGTGAGCCACCACGCCCGGCCGCCACTTCTACGTTTAAACAAATGCATACTCATGTGGGTAGGGCTGTCGTGACTCTTCTCATTTTATGATAAGGAAACCCAGAGAGGCCAAGCAACTGGACTGAGGTCACCCCAAGGAGGAGTGGCTGAACTGAAATGAGAATCTATGTTCCCTGGTGCTCCTGAGGGAAACTGGAGGAGGTGGGAACAGGATCACAGAGGAGGAACTTCAGCATCCTGGGCCTTCAGGAGGCATTACCCACTGCAGGCCATTTTCCTCCTCTGAGCCTCAGTTTCCTTATCTGTAAAATGGATGAGGACATTGGGCCTGGTACCTCCAACCTGTCCCTTCCATTTATTTCCTAGGTTGCTTCAGGGCAGGCTGGGAAGCAGCAAGAGAACCAATTCCACTGATCCTCCCCCAGTGACAGCTTAAATCCCAAGGAGAAGAGGTATCTTGAACCAAGGCCAGGAGAGGGCTGCAGGCGTTCCCAGCTGGGATTCTCTGGGAGGTGCCAAATGAACTTGAATCTTCAACTCCAGACCTTCAGAGAGCAAGCAGGCAAGAAAAATATGGGGCCTGGAAAAGCTGCGCTGGAAAGGGCAGAGACCTTGCTGTCCTGGCTCTGTCACTAGCTACACGGCCTTGCCCCTGTGCACCTCAGTCTCCCCTCTGTCAGATGAGGTCACCTTTCAGGCCCTCCAGCTCTAAGAGTGTGCAAAACAGTTTTCCCAGAATTCTCTCTGTGGGAGGTACAGACCGGAAGAGATGTTTTTCAACAAGTCCGGCAAAATGTTGCACATGAGTTAGATTCTGTAGAGGAGCCCTGATTGAGGAAAGACCCACCAAGGAGGTGCCCAGAGGACAAGAGAGGACCCTGCTCCTGGAGATGGCCAGGCAGGGGCTGGAGGGCACTCAGCAGGAGTGATGGCAGCGAGACTCCAGTCCTGCATCTAGAAAAGGGAAGACCTCTGAGGTTCTCTCTGGTTAGGAGGTTCTAGAACTCAGCATTTCCTCTCCTGAGTTCTAGAAACAGCCCTCAAGCCCTCAGCCTCCAATCCACCTGGCCTTCCCTTCCACAGGAGGGGAACTTCTGAGTCGCCTTCCTGGGGCAACTAGCAGAGGGGACACCCTCCTAGCCCTGGGAAGTAGGGGTAGGGCAGCACGGGGCGCATCCGGGTTTATAGCCCTGGTTTGAAACAAGGCAGCATTGGGTTTGAATCCTGGCTTCCACCACTTAACTGAGCAAGTGACTTAATGTCCTGGCATCAGTCTCCCCAACCCCCTGCCGCCAAAACAGGGGCATTGAGCTTTGTTCGCTGAGATAATGCAGTACCAAGTGTCTGGCATGAAATGGCAGCTGCTGTTACAGCTCTGCAGACAGGCTGCAGCTACCTGGAAAGGTTAGGGAACCTGGCCTTTGCAAACACCAGTCAGGGGCCCCAGGAAAGCTAGCTCTGGGGAGAGGGGGATCCTGGGGGAGGGACACTGTTGATGTCTGTAAGGGTTTCTGTGGGACAAGAGAGGCCTGGAGAAGCTGGAAATGTCCGTGGGAGGTTTCTGTACAGCAATGCAAATGCTGGCTCAGGGGCATGACACCCTTAGGTATATCCTAGCACATGTGGGGCAGCTGGTGCCTGGGAGTGGAGGTGGTGGACATGTCACCAGTGACTTCTGCTGATGTCACTCCACACAGATGCTAGATGGCTTCTTAGCACATGGCTATGGAGACACATTCTTGGGTCCTTGTGCATCCAAGCTGAAAAAGCCTTAGGTTTGTCTCCACCTTCTGGTTTTATCGATGGAAAGACTGAGGCCTACATGGGAGGATTGAAGCCATGGGACGGACCCTGGAGAGGGTCCTAGTCATCCTTACTCCCTATCCTTCCACGGGGCAATATTCCCCAGGGACCACCCAGCACTGGGACACCTACCTACTGCATCCGGCTCCGGCTCGGTGCCCAGGAACCGCCCTTGAGACCGTGAATCCACCAGCTGGAACCTCTTAGATTCAAGGTTCTCCAGCACCTGCTCGTAGTTCTTGAGCAGGGAGCGGTCCAGTGTGGCTTTGAAAACGGCCGGTTCTGGGCGTGAGGGCTCGGATGTCACCGGGTGGCCCTCCTTCAGCCAGTTCCGGAAGCCACCATTGAGCACTGATACGGTGCGGTGGCCAAACACACGGAACATCCACCAGACCCGGGGAGCATAGAAGCTGCCCAGGTGGTCGCCATCATACACCACCACGTGCGTGTGGTTGCTGATGCCCAGGCGGCCCACATAGTCGGCGAAGCCAGCCTCGCTGGGCAGCATCATCTCGTAAGGCGACGCTGTGTCCCGGCACTCCTCTATGTCAAAGAAAGAGGCGCCGGGTACGTGGCGCTCGAGGTACTCCTTGCGGGCCTCTCGGGTGCCTGGTGAGTACCAGGACGCGTCCAGCACCCTCAGGCCGGGCCCCAGCTTGCCAGTCCTGATGGACTCCGCCAGCCACTTGGTAGAGACCAGCGCCCGGTAGAGCACCTGATGAACCATGGCTTCAGCTCTGCGTGTCACCTGGCACGGGTGGGAACCAGGAAAAAGAGACAGGCGTGAGGAAGTCGGTGTGTGCAGTAGGGTGAGGCCTGGGAGAAGCTCTTTCTCACTCCGCACTCCCCCGGGGTCCTTGTTTACTGCAAGCCAGCGGGGCTGTGGCGTGCAGCGGGATAAGTTTGCAGATTCCCTCTGGAAAGCCGGCCCCGCCCCTCCCAGCGGGCCCGGGGGCCCAGCGCAGAAGCGGGTGGGGCAAGAGTTTCCGAGGACTCCAGATAGGGGTGCTTCCTGGGACAGGGGTCTGGCTCCTAGAAGCTACAGTACTCGATCCCGCCAGGAAAGAGCAGTGAAAACATGCCCGGGATGGGGGGCGATGGCATCTTGGGCTTATAATCCCCTTTCCTTCCAAGGCAGAGGGGGTGGGCGCACGGCGAGGAAGCTCCGCGGGCCGCGCACAGGCCATCGCCTGCGGCCTCCCCAGGCAGCCCGAGCTCGCCCGCCTCCAGAGTGCCCAAGTCCGGCCCGCGGCTCACTGCCCTCTGCCCTAGGTGGTTCAGAGGTTCCCGGGGCACCCCGTCCCACTCTCGCAACCCTATCCTTCCCCGGGCAGCAGGTGGCCCGGCCGGCGACCCAGGCGCCCGGCCGCCGCCCCCGCCCCGCACTCACTCGCCCCAGACGCCGCGCCGGCGCTCGCCCTGGCCCGCTGGAGAAGTTGGCCGGTTCAAACCCCCGGCCGCAGCTCCCCGGGCGGCGCGCACCACCGCGCCGCCGCCAGAGGGGGGACCCTGCTCCGCCCGCCGCCACCCCGTGCCGCCCCCGCGCCGCCGCTCAGCGCCCGCACCCGCCACCCTCGCGTGCAGAGCCTTCGGGACCCGCGGGGGTCTGAGGGGGACGCCGGGTGGCGCGGGGGTGGCGCGGGCCCGGGCTAGGCGGAGCGGGCGTCCCCCCACGGCCCGGCCTGTGGAAGGCGCGGGCAGCAGCGGCTCCGAGTGGCTGCGGCGGTGGGCTGTGCCGGAGTCTCCTCCCTTTGGCCAGCTGCAGGTTGGTGGCTGGAGGAGGGGACAGCTGCGGGCGCGGGGAGGGGGCGCCGCGCTGCAGGGGCCATGGCGGAGCCGGGAAGCCAGGAGTCCGAGATCCTGGTAACTGCCGCGGCGTGGCGGCTTGCCCTTCCGGAGCGGGAGGGAGTAGCTCTTTGGGGGTGCGCGGCGCGGGGCTCCCGCGCGGGACCTGGGCGGAAGAGGGGGCGCAGTCTAGGAGAGAAGTCGCGCCGCTACGTTGGCACTAAGGGTGACTGTCCGCTTGGGGCGGCCTGCCGGGTGGGGTCGTGGCGAGTGACAGGTGGGGAGCCTTGGGTGGAGGTGGGGTGGCCTGGTACCACCAGAGAGGGTGGGAGAGAGAGAGGAGGACAGGGAGACGAGACCCCGGTGACCCAGAGGCCCCAGAAAGAGCCACTAGCCAATAGCTTGTTAGTGAGTGAAAGGAACTAACGTTGTCAAGGCCTGCTTGGTGTGGCACTTTGCTGGGTTCTCCCGTGGTGTGACTTAGTTCCCACAATAACTGAGGAGTAGGCCAGAAACTTACTAAGACAGGAGAGAGCGGCAGAGCGAGTTGCTGGAGGACACACCCAGAGTTGAGGCCAGGCCGGGTCTGATCCTGGTCTGAAGCCCACGTAGTACCCGTTGCCTTTGCTTACCTGGCTCTTCCCTGAAGCCTCGTGCTTTTAAAAAAATTGCTTTTTTTTAACTTAGACCATGTAATCATAAGTTGATGTAATTCAATTTTTAATAATAGCTGTGTTTAACAACCAGTTGGCAAAATTCCTGAAAAGCTCACCGTGGGGGACTCCATTGCTCCTCCCTAGCTTTTGCAGAGGCTAGCCTGGAACGCTTTCCTTGTTCCCCAACTCCGACCTTTTGTTTTGTTTTGTTTTGTTTTTTGAGACAGGCTGTGGTTCTGTGGCCCAGACTGGAGTGCAGTGGCCCCATCTTAGCTCACTGCAACCTCCACCTCCCAGGCTCAAGCGATCCTCCCACCTTAGCCTCCCAAGTAGGTGGGACCACAGGCATGTGCCGCCATGCCTGGCTAATTTTTAAATTTTTGGTAGAGATGGAGTTTCGCCATGTTGTCCAGACTGGTCTTGAACTCCTGGGCTCAAGCGATCTGCCCATCTCAGCCTCCCAAAGTGCTGAGTTAACAGGCATGAGCCACCGTCCCTGGCCTCGTCCCCCTTTTTTAAAAAAGGTTTTGTTCTAAAATGCTCACAGCAATCCTCAAAGCCTAGTGTCTGGTGGTTGGGGGAGGGGGTGGGCAGGAGGGACCAGGTAGGGAGGTCCTAGAGGAGTGCCCAAGCTCTGCTCCTCAATGGGTACCCTGGATCCAGCCTGCTACTCACGCTTGCCTCAGTGCAGCTGTGTACCCTCCTGACATGAGCCTGGGGTGGTTATGTCCTAGGGTCCTCCACTCCCAGGGCACCCCCACCTATGGTGATCCTGGCTCCTGAATCACACAGGCACCTGGTTTCTACCCCTCCCTGACACCCACAGCCTGCCCTCACACCCTCCTTTATGGCCCACAGTCCTTTGTGAGAAGTGCCAATCAAGCAGGGAGACTGGGGCAGGTTGACCTCAGATCTCTGAAGTCCCACCAAGCCCTGAAATTCTAAGATTTTAGATTTGCTGCTGTCAGTTCCAGGGCCACCAATGAGAGTAATGGAAGAAATAATGCAATACTATTATTATTTTGAGATGGAGTCTCAGTCTGTCACCTGGGCTGAAGTGCAGTGGCGCGATCTCGGCTCACTGCAACCTCTGCCTCCCAGGTTCAAGCGATTCTCCTGCCTCAGCCTTCCGGGTAGCTGGGACTACAGGCTCATGCCACCATGCCGAGCTAATTTTTGTATTTTTAGTAGAGATGGGGTTTCACCATGTTGGTCAGGCTGGTCTCGAACTCCTGACCTCATTATCTGCCCGCCTTGTCCTCCCAAAGTGCTGGGATTACAGGTGTGAGCCACCGTGCCCGGCCTAAACCGTTTTTAATGATTATTAAAACCAGCCAGATGTAATGCATGACGGTTGCCCCTCTACCTTTATTGTTTAATCTTGGCTCTAAGAGGTGGAGGTGGGAAGCTCCATTATAAGGAACAGAAACTACCCAGAGACCCTACACAGCCACTGTCACACAACCAGTTAAGCAGTGGAGTGGG